TTGTTGTTGTTGTTGTTGTTGTTGTTGTTGTTGTTGTTGTTGTTGTTTGTTCCAGACTCTATTGTTGAGCTTATCCCTACCACCTTGTTCTGCATGTTCAAGTCGCCTACTGTCGATCGCCTCCTTCGATCGGACCACCCTTGGACCGGGGCGCCACCGCAGGCGGCCGGTGTCGCAAGGCCAACGTCCCTTCTTAGAAAGGGAAAGCCATGAGATCCATCCAATGACCAATGTAGGAAAACATCGTGTCAAAATGATGGATCTACTAGGTACTTCCCTCAACATCGAGGTTACTTATAGACACCAATTGGAAGGTCCTGGTAGGTATTGTTTTACTTTGAGGATCTTGTTGATGCAAGCCATCTGCTTCTTCGGGACTTCCGCTTGATGGTGCTTCAGGGCACCGAAAAAAACGTCACACCGAGACCGGAAAGGATCGTGACCGGAGCGCCAAACACCTTCTTCCCGGTGTCCAAAAGAGGCCACCACCGGTGGCGCCGCCCACATCATCCAAACACAGAGGCACAGGTCCAAGGGTCCCTCGGAAGGGCCGGTAGGCCGAACTACGTATGCTACTAAGCATCTGGTCTCACGTCAATCTCCGCCACCTGACCACTGATTTGCCGCACCACGATCTTCATGGCACCAGCGGCTCAAGTGTCCTTTCCAACTAAATTCTTGTTCTTGCTGTAGCTGTTTCAATTAAGTATAGGGATGGAGACACCGACTTAGCATACCAGCAGGCTCACATCATGTTCTTGATTGTTTTATAAAGATATGACTGGTATGATCACTTGCCACCTCTTGTTTCCATGTGCGCTCCATTTCAATTCATCCAATGTCGAAGTGGAGTCATGCCTTGTGAAGCAACTTGAGCAGATCTGCAGTCGGTCGACTTGGAGGTGTGTCAGGAAGGGTTTAACATGGCACTAATACGACAAGAACTGGGTTCAGGGCTCAGTCAAAAGCATACCACGCACAAAAACAAAACAAATCAGAAAAAACCGTTCATGTATGTTCATGTACCGAATATGAGAAGCAAGCGTCGCATATTTTCATGGCTGAGAAAAAGGCCAAAGACCCTCCCCAAGACTTGTATGCACAGAAATGGAATCTCATCTTCAATCCCTCTGTGGGTGAGCAGTGGCTGTTTGAGCCAAAGCCCTTAACACCAATTGGTTGTCATTGATATTCAGTGCGGGAAAACCACCCTATCACAAAGTTAATCTTAGCTCAGGGCGGTTTCCAAGCCGCTCATCATCACAAGTCCCGACCAGTCAGCTCTGCCAGTCGACGCCCGTCCTCGCAAAGCTCTTGCTGCAGCTTCCCGTCCAAGACATCCTCACTTCGAGAGGGTGCCGAGTGGTGTCAGGTGAGGACGGGCGACATGATTGACAAATGCAGAAGAAACAAGCATGTCTCCTAGTTTGCCACGTGATCTGTCTCCTAGTTTGCTTCGTGTCTTCAACCTAGTTTGTCTCAACAGCTGAAGGTGATCTCCTAGTTTGCCACGTGAACACAGAATGTATGACCAATCTGCTGAATTCAGCACCTGGACCGGAACCCTCCAATGCATATTCTTCAATATTTAAACAATATGTATATATATACATATATAATGACCCTGGGAGTCCAAGACCATTCTTTAAACGGTCTTTGGGTGATCCGAGTTCAGGAACTTCCTTTACTGGGGTGCCGAAAATAGTCGAACTGGACTTCTAGGGGTGATATTAGATATTATGAGTACTTCCACCCCATGTGTCGGAGATCTTCCCTTATAGCTCTTGATCCCGTCATCGCCTGCAAGGAGACTTGGAGATCGGGCGTCGACCCGGCAAGCGCGGGCGCCGTGTGGCTGGAGAGTTGCAGCAAACAAGGCAGGACCTTGGAAGAACAAGGCTGAAGAGTTGCGTCCAATCAATGAGGTATCACGGCTTGAACCCATGGGGGGGATCCGGGTATGACTCCGTATGATTGGACGGAGGCTTGGACCCTGAAGGCCACACAGTGACGGCTTGAACCCTGGAGAGTTGCGTGAGCCAAACCGCATCGCGGAGTGATTGGTATGCAGCTTCGTGCTCTTTGTGGGAGTGGGGGGGCAAGATGGTAGCGATACCTCAAAGCCAATCGTTTCTGAAGAGTCTCTTGTAGGGCATGTCTAGGGCCCAGTCATCTTTTCCATCCCTGGCTCAAGCTGGTCCATATGTGAGAGGAACTCCCTGCACATCCTGCAAGCACCAATTCGCACCAGCTCTCCGCCACCATGTAGCCCTTAGACTGGCTCCAATCTTTCAATCTAGCTCAGCGGAGTGAGAAGAAGGTCGACGAGAGGCCAACTCGACGTGCTTGTGGAGCTTGCAAAGGGTCCCTATGAGGCGGCTCGCTTCACCTTCGCACGTGGCACTCGGCCACGGGTATAACACCGCCACCGGTCGAGGTGGTTCCGCGAGGGACACGTCCCAAGAAGTCATGAAGGCAGGGGGGAACAGGTTCCAGCGCCCAAGGCCGAGATGAAGTTGAGACGGAACTGGACCAACTAAACTGGAACTGTGACTAACCATGAGAACCATAGGTCCTGTTGGCAGTGGGAGAATCCCTTAGTGCTCCTCTGGTGGACTGCGACTTGACAGGGCAGTGACCAATTGGGAGGCTTGCCAAACAAGCGCCTACAGGAGAGTTCAGTTACAGTATATGACCTACACAACACGAAACAACAATCTGAAACAATCTTTTGTTACCTGTGCCAGTGCTACGAGATTAAACCAAAAAAAGCATAGGGACATGACACGAGCAGTGTTTTGCTCTTAACGGGCGGTTCTTGTGTGCCAACTACAAAAGCCCTAATGGGGCGTACCACCTGCTTGTGTTTTGCCACCCTGTTCTTCGGTCAAACGACCGGTGCAGTCTGTGCTGTGTCCGGGTGGCTGGGCGACAGCACTTGCTTCGTGCCAAGGCGGGACAAGTAGAGCTCCAAGAGCTTCAGCCCGTCTTCCCTGACTTCGCCTCAGCCGCTCTTAGCCGTGACCAGAGGAGGCGCCACGGACGAGTAGAATAAGAGTAGCCTCAGTATAGCTACAGGAACCCAGGAGCATGTACGTGGCGGAAACCGGTTGGCGCCTGCACAAGCAACCAAGAAAGGTTGCTTAACCCAGTGGAAGTTCACCTGCGCGATGTGACATCCATGTTCCTCATGGGTTCTGCTCGTGATTGAAGGTTAGGGACACCTGAAAGATCCTGAAAGACATGTCTTGGCTGTAGTCTAGAAATCCTGCCCCATCTCTCTGTGGGCCTCTGCCGTTCGTCCAGGCACCCGGCACACCCGACCGGAAAAGCATGAGCCCGAAGCGTCGCGCTCCGAAGCTTCGCCCCGGCTTCGCCCGAAAGGCAAGGGAGGTTTCCGCTCCAACGCTGAACACGTCATCGTCTCAGGTGATGCACTCGTGCCCTGGTGCCCTCCTGGTGCCCCTCCTGGGTCACCAAGCCGACCGTCTCACAGTGCCAAGAGGCCACTGACGTGGGACAAGGCTCCGCGCACCTGGCGACCGAGGGGTTTTAGCGCCCATGGCGGCCGCCGTTCTGGCCGTCCGCGGCGGCAGGTTCTGGCCCACGGTGGGGCCAGTCGCAACTACCACCGGGGCCATCAACAACACCAAGTGGTCAAAATCATTGCAGGTCCTGATGCACTCCCTGAAACAAACCATGGAAGCGGAGAATCCCCTGTTGGTCGTGGAAAACGTTGTGTTCCAGGAGGCCAGCCAGAGGCCAGCCAGTCATGAGGCCATTGGAGGGAGGGTGCATCACTTGCCGATGTGCGGTTTAAGTTGCTCCTTTGTTGTTTGGAAGAAGTCCACCGTTGATCATCTTCCAACAAGGTGCCGATCGCGGGGGAACTGATAGGCCTGCTCAAACAAAAACCGCGCAAGGGAGGGGGGCGTTTCACGGATCATCGGTGCTACATCTCCCAGGCCCCAGATGTGAGGGGAGCTGTCTGACAGACAAAAACAACAAAAGCAGAACCCCCGCAGAATATGTCCCAGACACGACACATGGGACTGCCATATTTGCCTATACATTGAGGTGGTTGACCTGGGGTCAATGGGGCGGCATATATGCCCTACATGGAGTGTCTGGGTATTGAACCATGGCAGTGAGCAAATGATCAGGTACAACAGCATGTCTAATTGCATGAAATTGCCCCTCCCGCACCATTGTAGGATAGCAAGCCACCCAAAACAGTTGGAGACCTTAATAGACATCTGTTGAACATGGGAGAGCTACCTTGATGTGATTCCTCTTCCAGGTGGTTGGGACACTTAACCCAAACAAAATCTCCGCAGCACGCCCACCTGCAGCGCCAGCTTGGAGCCGAAGGCCGCCAGTGCCTCGCCTGGCATTGCCTCAAACGCCCGCGCATGGCTCAATAGAACCGTATCATTATACCGTATCAGTATCAGGTGTCGACACGAAGAAAACCGGGCGACTGCACCGACACAAAGAAACCACACCCTGCAAGAGGCTCCATGACTTCACATGCACAACTGCGTCGAAGTTGGAGTTGGTTGGGGAGGCCAGCTCAACCTCACGTCGCAGTGATACACTCCTAACTTGCTTGCCTCATCTTGATCTATAATCAAAGCTTGGGAGGTCTGGAGCCTGGAGCCTCCATGGTCTTTTTTTCAGGAGCCACGACCTCCACTCCTGTGAGAAAAACCCTGAAGTACTCCCCTGCAGATTAACATGGACCCAAAAAAACCATTGGGGTTACATATGGTTGTAGCGAAAATGGGTCAATACCACGGGGTATCTGTCACTTTTCCATGTTCGTCTGCAGGAAGGCGACGCACCACCCCGGGCGCCAGAAGCTGCCTCTAGCAAAAAGCCTTGAAAGCTCCGGTTCGCTGCTCGCACGTCCGGGCTGCCGTCCGTGGCGCAAAGCGCAATCCTTGGTGGATCAAATCTGCCGAGGGGTGGGAAGGGATGGGAAGGATGCAAAAGGTTCAAAGGTTCTTTCCAAGAAACTTTGCAGTTTTTTATTTGCACTTGAATCACGTACTGATACTGATTCAGATAAATCTATATATAGACAGATTGTTCTCGCATGTTCTTGCCTTTATTATATCAGAAAACAAGATGTGTCGTGTTAATGGATTCGAGGGAGCTGGAACGTATGTTGATCGTGCCCTATAGGTGTTCAATAATTGAACATCAGTTGGATGATAAAGTTCAAATCCAAATCCAATGCCAAAACAAACACACAGGGGGTTTTCTACAATCCGTCAGGAATGCAATAGTCATCTGAAGCAATCCGCAAATATTCGCCACCACCTGAGCTACCATAAGACTTATTTTGTGGTCTTTGCATGTCTTTGCATATGAACACCGGCAAGCTGGAGAAACAAATCGCTGAAATGGCAGCCGTGGGACCAGTGGAAAATTACACGTAATTTGAATTCTCATGCGGCTGGATCTGTAGAACGAACATGAACGAACCACATACCCATCATACAACTCCCCAAGTTTGTGCCTATTTGCGGTAACTATGTCTTTTCAAACAAATCATGATTAAACCATCCAACTGATCTGCGTCCGAAAATCAAACCCTGAGAAATTGAAAAAAAGGAAGCTTCAAGGCTGCGGCTCCGTCAGTGGGGGGAGGCTGTGAGGCTTTTGCCAGATA